GCGCGAGCGCAGGGGCTGTTCCTAGAATATTTGGAAGATTTGGCATCTGAAATGGTGAGCCATTTGTGGCACGCTGAATGAGGCAGTGCAGCAGCATTGTCTCATGCCCAGTTTTCAGTAGCGAGACATCAGGAGTTTATTTGTTGAGAGCCACGGCCATGGCCCAAAACTTGAGCCATGGTAGGGACACAAGATGAACGAATGGTCCGTTAATATCATCAACTAAAAACTATCGACGAACCCCCCCCCCCTTTCGCGACATGATGCCAATTGACATGATTCTCATGTATCCAACCATAAACAGTGGGTTTGGCCATGAAACCGCATACCCTCCACACAATCGAAAAGTTCCACCCTCAGTCTCCTTCTCCTCTGGCGTGCTTTTCACCAAGTCTTGAACCAAGGTTGTCCTTCATTGCGCTCTACCCCAAGCACCGTCTTTTGTGTCGCTCAGAACCATTTCATCTTGATCCACCAGACTTCCTCCCATTTTCCAACTGCAACTGCTAACTCCGTCCAGACGGCTTCATGCTTTTCCGTCGTTCGAAAGCTGTGAAGAACCCCCTCGAACAGCGCCCTCTTGGCATCGCCACTAAGGGCACTGAGACCGTACCCTACCACCCACGCAGGATCCTCGCGATGTCTCGAGTTTATGTTTGACCCGATCATAGCGAAGAAGTCGCACATGCGTTCGTCCACGTAGGCCTCATCGTGCCTGCGCTCCTCGTAGCCGTCGTCGCTTGGGCCAGGGTAATAGGCCACACATTCCACAGCGGCGCGGAACATGGCTACGAGATACTCGTGAAGTCGCTTCTGGGCCACGGAAACTGCCTGCTCACGCGAGTCGTGCGAGAGGACGAGGGGGCACGTCGGGAAGCCGAATGCTACCTTGATGGCGTGCTGTTGCTGTGGAGTGAAAATGCGCGACACGTGAATTTTGTCATCAAAGCCGTCGAGAGATCGGAGGAATATCTCAATGTCACACTTTGGCAAGTTAGGTAGGCCGATGGCTGCGCGAAGCTTAGCATTGAAATCAGCGGTGTTGAGGTGCTGGCCGGGTTCAGGATAGACTTGAATGGTTGACAAGACGGGAGACGAGGAGGGGGATAAACTGTTGGGAGGTGTGATGAGGCATTGCGTGCGTTTTGCAACGATGTGCGGAGGGGTTCCTTGAAGTGTATGCGCTTCTTGAGCAGAATGACTGCTTTCGGAAGAGACAGTCGTAGGAAGACGAACGGCTTGGGGCGAGCGACCCGACTTCAAACTGCTATAGGGAGTTCTCGGATTTCTCTCTGATACCTTCAGTTTCTCAAATTCACTGAGGGTCATTGATGTCGCTTTTGTAGTCCTGTTGGCCTTGAGGATGGTCTTTCGAGTCTTGGCTGGACGGGGAGCATCTGGAAGACGATGCGTTTTCCTCGTGGTAACTGTGTGATTGTTAAGTAGAGGCATCGTGCCAAAATTTCGGCCGTCTCTATAAAACGAGTGACCCTATATGACAGTAGATCACTGTCCCTCGAATTGTGATCTTGAGACAAGTTGAAAAAGACTGGCGGGTGCTGGCTTGCTTGACAAGCGATACGGACTGATGCAGTTACAGCACCAATGGTAAGATGGGAGACCCAAACATGAGAACCAATGCGACGATCCTAATTCTGCATTGATCCTTATATACTCTGTTTATATATGGATTCGCGAAAAGATCAAAAGACGTCGGAGATTGCTATATCTCGATGAAAGCATAAGTCGGTTGACGAGAGGTCAGTCAGCCCGACACCAAAAAAAAAATAGGGCTGAACCATGACTAGACTTCCGATTATAACTCCATTTCAGACTGTCTCGTGTGCTCAGGCCCGAACGGTCGCTGTATTGATGTGCAGAAGGTCCCAATTAGGTTCGAGGGCGGCCAGGTCAGGGGATCGTGCATGGTCCGTGCGAGTATGTTTTATGGTGTTGAGCGTACACCTGGATGGCGGTCGTAGCTGGTTATAACAGGATCGAACAAGAAATATGATTGTTGGTGAATGCGAGGTCTCTTCTCTTGGTATAATTCAATAGCCAGCATTTGAATGCATGTTTTAGCTTCATGAATATGATGAATATTGGCGATATATCTCTCCTCATTGAGCATCCATGTGGTGGCCTTCGCTTCGGGCAGTAGCCTCGCTGCTGTCCATCAATCACGTGTTCCGTCTCGGCAGCGGACAGCACCTGTACTTACGATGCCGGTATGAACATTTGGTCATCGTTTTGGCTTGAAGTCTTCAGATGTTGAGCTTCATCTAGCTTTTCCCTAAGACGAGATGCACTACAGCCTCCATCACTGGCTCTGTCCGTCCTGGAAATTGCAGACCATCCCAGAAGATCACGCAGCTCAACAAATACGCATTTTGACAGCTAGTTTGTAAAACCAAGCTACATCTGTAATGCAAACTCGTTGGTTGGTTTAAGCAACTCCACGGACTGCTTTATCAATTTGGCCGGGCCGTAGCCCATCAATACTTCACGGACCCTCCGTGCCCTGCTCCGAGTCAATGCATTATATGTAACGAACCTGAGTCCAGAGCTGGAATTTGAGTAGTGTGATCACATCTCAAGGGGGAAAGACGTACTCTGACGCC